AATGCTGAATTCCAAGATTTCATCTTTCACCAAGAATATTTCTTCTTAAAATTTTTTTTTCTTTAAAGACTGTTTATGAAGTACCTCTCTATGCAATGTACTTCCCAGGATTTCAGACGAATCAGAGGTTAGGAAAGAACAGTCTAGGACTCAAGAGTTTACAGCTGACTATAGATGATAAAATAAATCAGTCCAGGATTTTAATATATGCAGGTACTCAGACTATAAGCAGATTCGTCTTGGATTTCAGAGGAGAGAATGACAGAAACTTTAGGAAAGGCTTGAGAAATGCAGAAGACATCGGAGTCAGGCCTCGTAGAATGGATTTGCTTTGATAAACAAGAGATTTGAACTTAGGGACAATCGCATGTTGATGTCCAAGAAACTCACAGTCCATTGTCACTGCCCTGCAGCCCTACACATCTTTCTGTTCCTTGAACACGAGCAACTTCCCAGCCATTGCAACTGCTTTCTCTGTATTCAGATTGCTGTTTAACCCACTCTGTTTAATTCTTTATATATATATATATATATATATATATATATATATATATATATATACACACACTATATATATATTTTTATATATATATATATATACTATTTTTGCAGGGGGAGGTAGTTAGTTTCATTTGTTTACTTACTTTTTCAGTGGAGGTACTGAGGATTGGACCCAGGACCTCATGCATGCTAAGCATGCACTCTACCATTTGAGCTATACCCTCCGCCTAATTCTTACTTTACAAGTCTTCCCTGAAATGTAATTTTTTCTTGGAAGCCATATCTTTGTAGCACTCATCTCTGCCATTACTAAGAAATTATTTGTTTTACAAACTGCCTCCCTTTCTAGACTATATACTTCAGCCTAGAACAGGCAGGATCATACGTCTTCGCTCCTGGATTCTTAATGTCTCAAATAAATACTGTTTGCATGGGTGCAACAAATGAATGAAGGGTAGGGCTAAATAGAATATTTTCTTGATTAGTAAATCTGCCCTGTCAACAATGATCGGGCCGTTGATGGAGGTGCATTGTTATTTAAATTTTCTCCTTTGTGCGC